TATAATATAATATAAATATATTTTACATATAATCTTTGGTCTCTATCGGGTCAAAATGGCATGCTGATAGTGAGAGAACCTGTTGTTAAAATATTTGAATCCCACCACTGGTTAAGTGCCACCAACAGTCAACATAAAAAAAAAGTTCCAGGTAAGTACTTTATTTCTTGTTTTTCATATGTATTCTTTATTTATTATTATAAAAGTAACTAAAATGTGAAAATAAGAATTTCTTTTTTTACTTAAGATTAGATTAGGTAAAATAAATAATAATAATAATAAAAAATTTTCAAAAGGCACGCACACGAGCAGTTCGGAGTAGCTCGTGGGTAATGTAATCTAATAGCGGAACTCAAGCCCAAATTACCCAAGTGATTTACAACTTATAATGGTGCGATTAGTAGTTAGACATGGTTCAAAAGTCAATAAAACAATAAAATTTAAGTATAAATTGTTGTATACTGTTATGAGTTTAAAGCTACTTAGACTAAACAAATGTTGTTTCATGTTACAATTTGGAGTAATTTTAGAAAGAAAAAATGGGTAATTTAGATTTATTTCAATTTTTTTTGGTGGTTATGAGGTCGTTCAAATTCACCAACCTTGTATAAAATTAAAATAACAGATAAAATATAAAGCTGTACTGAAAACAAATATCTGAAATGTACTTAGAAGGTTTTAGAGATTACGCAAATGAAATTTGAGATTTTTTATTTTAACATTAAAATTAATTTGCACACAGACTAGCAATGAAATAGACTTGATATACTCACAAACAAATCTTTAGTAATAATACTTCAATAAAAATTCATTTTTTGTATACAAAATATTTTTAATGTTTCCCACGAGTCTATCAGATTTTGTGAAGATACACATAATATATTAAAAGTTATAGTATAAATACTTAACGAGTGCAAACGTGTATACAGATTCAGTATTTTATACCGAGCCTGTTGTGAAAGGGTTAATTTTGAGAGAGAACTGCAATCCATTCAAACAACTGACTGTTGACTTCCTATTTACTTATTAAAACTCTGTTGTATCCTATCATAATTTTCAAATCAGCATTTTATTAGTTATCTTAATATACAAAAGAAACAATTACTGTAATTAGTAAAAACAAAATTTTGTGAAATTGCAGCTTTTAGTAAGTAACCTAACAAAACTTATCCAATATCATTAGGGCATTTGAGCCAAAACTTCATTATCAGGTTCACATTCTAGAGATGCTTCAGTCCCTCCTTCTGCACTGGCTTGGTTTAAAGGCTGAAGATAATCGCTTGTGTTGAAAATCTCTGGAGGTTCGTATTTCACTAGTCGCCTGTCTTGGTTTGATGATTTCTTCTGAAATAAGTTAGATGCAGCTTTTCATTATAAATTATCATCACAAATACATAAGCAAAATTGTCTTGATTTCACCTTTATTTTCATTGTGAGAATATCTGCATTACAATTTCTTTGTTTAAATAAGTTATTGTTGTCACTGTTTTAGCACAAAACTAAACAGTTGGATTTCTGTGTTTGGTCTACCATATGGAATTAAACTCCAGATTTTAGCGTTTGAGTCTGTAAACTTACTGCTGACCACCATGGGATGTTTTAAAAAGAGTATGTTTCAATTGTTATTTTTTCTAATGTTAACAATGTCAACGAGGGGGGAAGTGTCTCTGTGTATTTAGAGGTTAACTCATTTTTAGTTAGATAAAACCCCAAAGAAAAAAAAAAGAGAAAAACAAAAGCATTATTGGCAAATTTAGTAAGTCAAACTTACAACTTTTAAAAAGTATACACATTATTTAAAAAAAAGAAATTAAGTTCTTAAAATAATATATCATATTCTTTAGCAATTTATTAAATTTTGTTATGGAGAAAACAAGAAATAGTTGCTACTAAAGACACTTGAGATCATATTTACCCTAAATTAAAAGGAGAACTATCTGGGCTTTTACTTGCACAAACCACTTTTGTTAATTTAATGCAAGGAATATTATCTGATAAATATTTCTCATATTTACAAAATTAAAAAAACAGCTAGAACAAATCTTGCTGTTTGTCAAAACAGGTTTTATAAGATGAGAAAAAGAAATAGAAGAAAGATAAATGATTCAATCTTAAGTATAAAGTACAGAATCACAATGGTGGAATCTTTGAAATAGAGCTTAGAGGAAAAGTGAATTAGTTTTATTTAAGCAGTATTAAAAATGATGAAGCTAGCAGATACTTTTATGTAGCCCCAAACCCAAGAATTAAAACAAAATAAACAATGGAAAAAAATAGTTTTTAATTATTTTATATCAGATTTTTATTCACAAAAATCCAGATTAACCAAAAGAATATTAGCCAATTTAATTAATACAATGATAACAATGTTCCACTTAAATGTTTCATAAAATATTAACAGATTATGGTGCATTAATTCTTAAAAGGAGCTCCAACCAACTCACACAAGAGATTGTTAAGCATATTCATTACTTACTTACTGTTTCATGAATCAGCAATATAATTTATTGTACTCTCTAACCAATGTACTCAATAATAATGCATGTAAATAATAATATAAAAATTAGTGACAAAATTAATTGAATTAGTTCTTTTATTTACTAAATGTTTTGTATTGTGTATATCAAAAATATAACAACATTTATTCTTCTCTGATACTTTTTCACAGAAATGTTTTTGCACCAAAAGACTTTCTTTGCTTGTCACAGTACTAAATATTTCACTTTACCATTAACCATTCAGAAGTATATAGTATAAACAAATATGTCAATTCTAATTTAATACAAGTAATACAAGCTTTTGAAGTGGGCAAGATACTTATCATACAAGCAAACAAAACCATAACAAAATATATTTCTATAAAGTAAAATGAAATTTTGTAATTTTAAACTTTCTTTTGCATGATCATCCTTCTTACTTATATTATGAATAATTATTCTCAAAAAGTAATCAGTATTTCTTTCACCATCAAGGTGAACTCTCAATTTGAAATGCATTTTAATTCACATATTCTTTTTTCAAATAAATTATTCTATTCTCTGGGTGAAAAAATGTTAAAAATATCAAAACCTGTTCTAGAAAGGAAAGAGAGAGAGAGGTGCATAACATACAAAAGGCCCTGGCTGTCTGCAAACTGAGCCTCGAAGAAAACAGGCATCAGACATGAAGCTTATATTAAAGGTACGAAGTTCCTTGGACTACTTCATACATAACTAATGTACAAAATGCTATAAAACTTGGCTATAACTGACATCAAAGCCATGAAAAACTCACTAAACACCTTAGGAACCTGAAATCAAATGAAGATATAGCATTCAATGCTTAGAAAAAATGTTAGACTTTGCAAACAAAGTCATGAGGTTTCATGACTTACCAGAATAATATAATGGCTTATCAAAAGCACTTTTCAAAACATAATTTATTCAAAATAAAAAGGTGCACATAAAACAAAACTCTTTAACTGTGGCATGGGGTTGGCAGTAGGTGCCGCAGGAAAAATTTCACTGTTGCATCTATGTTCTATCTCAGGATTTAACATGGAAGAAACACACCTGTCAGAAAGACAAATGAGAGTAAAAAACAAAGACATAATGAACTTTATATTTAAAATGAAAATAACATACAGAATGCACAGATGGCATACACATTTGATTAAGGATGACTTGCACAAGTAACAATATGAAAATAGGCTTGACTGATAGTTTCAAAAAAAGAAAGAAAGATGAGAACAGGAAGATAAGTCAGAGCTTTAAGAACTAGAACTATATTCAGAAAGAAAATTGAAATGCGAAAAAAACTAAAAATTAAAGCTTAAAAAGAGGCACACTTAAATAGGGAGAAGACTACCCAGTATTGAGAAAAGAGTACAGCAGTCCATGTTACAGTACAAAGAAAGAGAGGGAAAACTTCCTGCCCTTAACCCATGGACTGCTGATTTGCTGTTTAGGGTATGGCCTGCCTCCGAAAGTTGAATGCAAGTGTACCATATACGGGGGTATAACTTGCAAAAATTCTGCATACATTTAGAGCAGCCATAGTCAATGCATAAAAACACTCCACGATGAAGAAAGTAAAATTAAATATGTAAAAAAAAGGAAACTAGACAGAAAAAGAATAATAATAAAAATGCAAAAAAAAGGAAAAAATCTCCAAGGCTAGTAAGTAGCAAAGAATAGATAGCATAAAAAACTCTGCATTAGAAGAAGATTCTGGCAAGGAAAAAAGAAACCCTTACTGAGGGTTATGCAAATCTTAATTTGTAACGTGCCATTAGGAATATCATCACAAGGTGAGCATGAAAGTTTTCATATTAAAACTACATAAAATGATAACCAGAAGTCTTTTGCCCAAAAAGAAAGAAACAGTAAAAATAAATCTGGCGAACCACAGAATTTAATTAATATTACTTTAAAGTAACACATCTGAAAGAAAAAAAATGGTGTGAATACTTAAAATTTTTTTTTTAGATTTCATTTACTAAACAGCTGTACTATTCTTTATTCTCTTGTTGCTGAAGAAATAAAGAATACATTTTATATTTTGTTGATTTTAATATCCAATTAAAAACGATTTTGTGCCAACATCATAATTCCAACATGTACATGTTTATCTCATTACTTTAGTCAAACCATGTTTAATACAATAACGAAAATAATGAGGAAGAGATAACTAAACATGAATTTCACAATAGTATTAAAAGTTATTATGCTGAACTACAGTGTATATGCATACTTACTGAGAATATTGGTTTTGGTAATGATGAAAAAAATTTTTTCACAGAACTGCCTCCAAGAAGATATTCTGCTCCAATTACTTTTTCTTCCATGACATCAAGGTTCTGACGAACAATTTCGATAAAGGCCTGGGAAAGGAAAGCACACAATATCAGATAATGGGAAAAATTTACAATATTAATTAAATAGTAGAAATACAAAAACACTGAGGAAAAACAATGAATTTCACATATTCACTTGTGTGAAATGGAAGATTACAAATTTAACTGTTACCTATGAGCAAGGTATCATTTACAATGTCTTTTGAAGATTTCAGTATTCGTAGCATACAATGAAGGATTTTTGACATATTTAAATAATTATATACAGCTAAACTTCTACAAATAAAACTCATTTTAGTTCAGTTCAACATTAAGGTTTCATCAGGAAAACATGATTATTGTATTTCAGCAAAGCTTACTTTTCAACTTATTAAAAAAACAAATGTTACTTGAAAAACATGTGCAGAGGTGTATGAACATCAAATACTGATAATTGATGTGCCGTTAATTATTGTTGAATATAACCTTACTGATAATAATTAATAGAACACCATAGACTTGAGATCAAAGTTGCTGTATAGTTTAACATACTGCAATGAGAATTCTGAAAGACATTGGTTGGAAATTAATCTATGCAAAGTAAAGCTGCATTAATTATTTCTATATATGTTTATTTAGAATACTTTCACAGGAATATTTAATGTTTATACTTAACATTACAAAACCTTGTCATGGTCCGAATTAAGTTCTGAGTGTAGTTTTTGTTTTATCATGAATTGTTATGTGTATTTCTGTTCTAAGAAAGATGTAGTGTGTTTTAAAATTTCCATGGAAATTATATCCCTTTTAGTTAGTATTCCATGAATTTTGTGTAATGTTCTGCTACAACACTTGAGAAAAAGAATGAGAATTGCTCTTGAAGATTTTAGAAGGTGTGAAAGCCCTCAATCAATGTGTTACTGCAGTTAGAAATAATTTCAAAACAGAATGGTTTTCAAAAGCAAACAGCAAGTTTATTTACATAGACTAGCTTTAATAACATTGATCAAACTTCCAACATAGAGCTTTAACAATTATCAGGCATTAGTGGCCCATTATCAAAAAAAATCTAGAGTGTCACATCAGAAGGACTTTTAAAGCACAGATGAGAAGCAGAATAAGGAGAAAGAATAATACTTTAACTGAACTTTCTAAAGATGTAAAAAGACATGACCAATTATCTTACCTAGATGCTCCACATGAAGTAACAAATTTGTTAGCACATGGACACAGTGGATGAGAATATACAATTTAGGCTAAAGCAAAGTAGATATAAACCTTTAAAGAAAGCTGATCTGTTGGTGATAGAACTTGAATCAATTAAAATTGAACATAAACAACTAAAAGCACCATCCAGGAATAATGAGATCATCAAATCAAACAGTGTGGAAACATTAACTAGAAAACTGCTTACCCAGAATAAAAGAAGTAACTTACAGAACAGTAGGTGTTTGGAACTTAAATTGCAGCAAAATCCTGAAGGAAGTGAAACCTGCTCCCATAAGAAAAGGGGGAAATGTTATAAGTGTACAAATAATGTGATGAATCAACAGATGATAATAAACTAAGGAGATAATATGCTGAGGATGAGTTCTAACATTGGAAACAGTAAGAAGGGATAAAGGGAAAGAACATGCAAACACCTATTTTATCAAGGTAATCAATTCTTCAGGGAGATAAGGTACTATACAACTCATAAAGTACTATTAAATGTTGTTTGAACCCCGAGTCGCTTCTACCGCTAACTACGTAGACAAAAAGTTCACACTTCAAACGGGTCATGTAGTCTTGAAGTGGCTAATAAAGTTTAACATTCCTGAAAACCAGATATCAAAGGATTAGAAGTACAAGAGTACAACTTTAACATTGCCCTGGATGGAACCATGGAAATGAAAGTGCATTTCACAACAAAGACTTAGTATTACCAAAGAATGTAAACACTGTGAAAAGAGAGAAACACAAGATAATAAAGACAGCTAGCCTGAAGTGCAAGAAAGAAGAATCCAAGATGAGAAATCCACAGATAATGAAAAACTATTGAGGTCAAACACTCAACTGAGGTACAACCAAGCAACAGATATCAGTATTAAGTCAACTAATCAGTGGATCAGGAATGTTGTAGTCAAAAGAATCAATGGTGTGGTTTATAGAATCCAGCCAAAGGCATCCACTGTAATCATCTTTGCAGTACATCTGTGAAAAAATAGTCAACTGGCTAGCTTACAAAAAAGACTCTGTCAGAAATAAATCAACCTGCTAGGGTTCCTCAATATTACTTACAATGTATCACCAAGGATGAAACTACCAGTAGATCCCCATAGCCATCCACCTAAGAGAACTCCCCCAATGACAAGATGTGAAAGTAAAGAACCAGAGGTCGACCCATCTTTGCACTGTAGGCCACAAAAAAAAGAAAACCCCAAAAGGTTGGGTAACTGCACAGTAAATGAGTAAAGAAACAATATTTTGCTTTGTTAGCCAAAATTGTATCTGTACTTTGTTTCACACATTTAATTAGGGATTTATTGATTGTAAATGTTAATTGTCAAGATCTTATTTAAAAGTTTTGTTTAGCCAACTCATGCAAAAGTTATAAGATTAAACTATCATGAAAGACTGTTTGATGCAATGAAAGATTTTGATACAAGTGTTATGTCAAAAAACATAAAGAACTTGACCCTACATGTTTGTCTCTTTGACATAATACTTATACTAAAATCCTACATTGCACCAAAAAAATCTTACATGGTAATTTAATTTTGTAATTATTTCATTGTTAAATGAATGTTCAATAAACGTCATACTTTGTGAGGGGGCAGTGTTGTAGGTTATGTTTTTAACTTAAATGTTTGTATTTTTTGTTGCAGAAGGAGTTTTCTCATAGCATTATAGGCATGGCTTAATAAATAGAGCCATCTTGAAAGTTCGGGAAATAATTTGAGCTTTATACAAAAAATAAAAAAGGAGCTAGGCTAAAGATGACTGTTTACTAAGCTAGCAAATTTATTATTCAGTTCATCTGTTAATGTCAGGAAGTTAGTTGGTTAGTTCAGTTCTCTGAACAATGAATTTCTCTTTCAAAGTTCTTAAGAAATGTAAACTTAGACCCATCAGGTCTAACTTGTAGCTAACTTGTAGAACCTGAAGTTAGAAATAAAATAATTTCATTATCATTAAATCAACTGGACTTTGCATTATCCTTTTTACCAAATAATGCAAAAGAACCTACCAAATGAGAGGAGCTGTTATTACAACATATAATTATTTTATGGACAAATCACAAAATTCAACAGAAATATATATATGCAATTTTGACAACCATAACCAAAATATTTATTATAAATTATTTTACTTGTTATTCATGATAACACTTTAAGTAAAACAATGAACAATCAGATAAAAAGAAAAATGTGTTACCTTTTTATTTATTCAACTTTCTTTTTCGCACTCTGGTTAATACTCTTTTATTATCATATGAAATACAAGCCCAACTTTAAAACATGTAATCAGAGTATATATAACACATTACACATTGTTAAAAAAAACTTGGAAAGGAGAATATATTTGTGAAAGGGAAGTTCTGATCACTCAAAGATTTAGGGCCGGCAAGAAAACTTTAATAGAGAAAAGAAGCATAGGACTAATACATGAAAAGAAAAAGAAAACTATTGAGAAATACAGTAAATGAACCTTAAAAAAAATGTTAATAGATAAAGTAGGCCTGAATACTTAGAAGTTTGTGAAGTTAATTAAAACTGTAGCTTAATCTAGTGAGTACAATATTTTCTACATCATGTACATTTGCTCAATGAAAAGCTTAATTTATAAACAGCTTCTTCAGCACATGTCCATGCTGAAATGATACTTTAGCTCTACATCCATAACAGATAACTTTAAAAATGCATGACAACATATCACGTAAGAACAGTCTTTAAATAAAAATTTTAGAGAAAATATTTAGTGCACGATAGTAATTTATTCATCTTGAGGTTATTCAGTGACAACAAATTGCAAATGTTATGCTTTTAAATTATTTGTTTTTGTAAAACATGTTAAGAAAGACGTGTTTCAGTTGACTTCATAATAAAACTTAATGTGCTATATGAAGTTTGCACTTAGTGTTACAATGTTTGTCATGCACTGATGTTATATGCACACTACTCAACTACCTATGTTCATTCCAAATGCTATTACACTGGTTAATCTTCTAAGCCATTAATACTAAAAAAAAAAAAAATGGTTAAAGGGAATAAAAAAGCTTAAAAACTGGACACTATTAGATGTCAAAATATAACTACCTACAAGTTAGCATTCAATAAAAAAAAGTATTCAAGTGGTATTAGACAGTTAATAACATGAAAGTAACTTTTTCATTTTCTTATTAAAGTTGATACCTCTGACACCAGTTCTTATTTTGTTTCCTTAATTCACTGAGAACTGGAAACATGCAACTTACTCTTCAAGGTGGTCACTTTAAAGTTGTGAGAAGAGCTGGTAGAGAGATTCAGCCATAGGCTTACAAGTCTAGTGATCTAAAATCAGACTTCAATCAGTAGAAATTGACTTGCTATTTTATAATTAAACTAAAAGTATATTTCAATTGTTTTTTTTAGTTATTTGTTTTAAACCAAATCTAATATTTTGAATGTAGAATCTAGTTGATTAGACATGAGTCAAAAGTAGCTTGCTTAACTTTTATATGCTTAAAAAGTACACACACACACATATATATATATAACACATACATACACCTGGCAACTTGCTAATATTTACCTCCAGTTTATCAATCCTTTCAAAAATCTTTTCTAGTTCTAGGCTTTTTGCATAGATAGATGGTAAGGTGTTTGAAAGACAGAGTGTATCATCACTTCGTACCTAAAGGAAATAAAAATAAGATTTTCATACTACAATTCCCTGAGTTTTAAAATATGAATATTAAGAAAAATCAGGTAATTCTAATATGAGTATTTATTGTTTACTCTGAAAGTCTGCCTTCTTTTAATAAAACTTAAGAGTTCTGATTTTTCCCGCCATAATCCAAATTTTGTAGTTGCAGTTGTGATGAACATTACAACCTCCCAGTTATAGGGAGACATATGGGAATGTAATTCAGAGGCAAGTATATCTCTTTTTTTTAATTTTTATTTAATTCTAAAACATAGTGCAGCAATCTGAATATCAGAAGGTGGGAGAAATAAGGATTCAAGTACTAGATCAGTGATTCTCAACCAGGGGTAAATATACCCCTTGGGAGTAAAAAATTACATGGCAGGGGGTAAATAATTGATGTACCTGATGATTGAATAATAATTCAATTAAATTATTTTGTAAAATGTGTGTGTGTGAGAGAGAGAGAGAGAGGGAATACTAAGAATGTGTGTGTGCTCGTGTGCATGCGTGAGGGAGAGAGGGAGGAGGGAGAGGAAGGGAGAGTGTCAGTCAATCCTGTTCAGTCCTATACAGTCACTATACTAATTCATAATTATGTCTTTTCAGATTTTTTTCATGTCCAAGAAACATACATACCTGGATTCATATGTATAATATGGTTTTGACTTCATTGTTGTGGATGGTGTGGAGAAGGCTCAGTGTCTGCTGTGCTCAAAAGTTCTTGGAAATGGGTCATTGAAACCTTCAATATTGAAACAACATCTGGAAACTACACATCCTGCCCATGCATCTGATGACCGTGCTACATTTGAGGCAAAGAGAGCTAGGTTTAGGGCTGCAGGAACACTGCCCAAACTTGGCTTCGTATCTGAGAAGAAACCAATGCTTGCAGCTTCCTATCATGTAGCAATGCGAATAGCAAAGGCAAAGAAACTACATGACATAGCCAAGAAGCTGATTAAACCTTGTGCCTTAGACATGGTTGAACATGTATGTGGGAATAAAGAAAAACAGAAGATTCAAGCCATTCCCCTTTCTAATGACACAATTGATCGGCATATTATAGAAATGTTGCAAGATATTTTTCAACAACTTATTGAACAGTTCAAATCTAGCCCACCAAAAATTTCTTTGCAACTTGATGAATCCTGTGATGTAGCCAATTTTTCACATCTTCTTGTTTTTGTCCATTACATATGTGGAATGGAACTAAAAAATGAATTTCTCTTTTGTGAACCTTATGAAAAAACCACAAAGGCTATTGATATAATGCAGAAAATACATGACTTCTTTGAAAAGAACGATCTCACATGGGACATTGTTGGTTCAATCTGTACTGATGGAGCTCCAGCCATGATGGGAGTGAGATCAGGCTTCACTGCACTTGTGAAGCAAAAGTAACCCCATGTGAAAACAACACATTGTGTTCTTCACAGACATGCATTATCTGCAAAAACTCTTCCTGAAAATCTGAAAATTGTTTTGCAGAAAGTTGTTGAGGCTGTTAACTTCATTCGGGCCCGAGCTTTGAATCACCATTTGTTCAAAGCTTTTTGTGATGAGAAGGGCTCTGGGCATTCCATTCTTTTACTGCATACTGATGTGAGGTGGCTTTCTCGTGGACTTATTTCAAATCGTGTGTTTGAGCTCCGTACTGAGTTAGAGATTTTTCTTCGTGACAGGAATTCAAAGCTGTGTGAAGACTTTGATGATCCAAAGTTCATCGCCTGTTTGGGGTACGTCTCAGATATATTTACCCATCTTAACCAAGTCAACAAACAACTACAGGAAACGTCAGTAACCGTTGTTGAGGCAAGTGAAAAGATGACAGCATTGCTGACAAAGCTGGACTTATGGGCACGGAGAGTTCACCAAAGTAACTTTGCAAATTTTTCAAACTTGGATGAGGAAAGATCTGGTGTGTTACCTGAGATAAATGAAGACATCACAGAACATTTGAAAATCTTGAAGAATCACTTCACTGGCTACTTTTCAAAAGACATGATTCCAACAGAGAGAGAGATGGATAATAAGACCTTTTGCCACTGAACTGTCAGAAATGAAAGATGATGACCCAGCAATAGAGGAGCTGATTGATCTTCAATCCTCAGCTACTCTTAGAGAAGAATTTGAAAATGTTGGTGTTCATTTTTGGGTAAAACTCGCAGATTCATTCCCACTCCTTACTCAACCTGCCTTCTAAGTGCTTATTCCTTTTGTCACTACATACTTATGTAAATCAGGGTTCTCAAGTTTAGTAGCAATGAAGACAAAGGCCAGGAACCGATTGAAAGCGGATGAAGATATGAGAGTAGCACTGTCATCAACAGCTCTTCGCATAAACAAACTGATTGACTCAATGAATCAGCAGGTTCCCACTGATAATGTTTCTGGTGTTTCTGTTTGGTTTTATTTTTTGTGATAAAAATGGACTGTATAATTTTTTCTTTAGAAAAGAATGTTTTATTTTCTTTATTTTTGGTGATACGAATGTATATTGCTATTTTTGTGCAAAACCTGAATAATATTTTTTTTTCTGACCTTCTTGTTTTTCTGTCCCTTTATCATGGCTATGAATTTTTTGTATGGAAGTAAGGGGGTAAATGGAGAAATACGTCAAGCCGAGAGGGTTAATGATGGAGGAAAAGTTGAGAATCCCCATAGTAGATCATCTAACGTGACATTAGCACCCTCAGGTGTAACAGAAACTGGTTCAAGATTTAAAATATAATGTACCCGAGAGAAAGGACAAATTATACCAACAGAAGATTCTTCACGATTAGAGCAAGTAGACAAACAGGCCTGAACAAAAGATTGAAATTGAGAGCCAACACAATCATGAAACCTACCTGAGACATCAGTAGACAAATGGGCACTGATGGCCTGAATACACTGATCAATAACAGCTGACAAGGCAGCCATACGATCACTAGAGGTAGACTATGCAAGGCCCCAGAAAAGTTGTAGAAATTATGATATTGTGAAATATATTTGCATCAGAAGTAACTCACTGTGTATAGACTTAGTCATTCAGTAACCATGAAACTACAATAAGTGTATTTTCACAAAATTTTACAAGTTTGAAATAAACATTACACATCTGTTGTACACAAAAAATAATTTTTTTGAATAAAGTAATCTTATTACAGATTTGTCTGTGAATGTGTGAAGCCTTTAGTAAGAAAAATATAATCAAAAATACCTTTTTTTCCTAGAATGACTGCAGATTGTAACAGTTATTTTCTTAAAAGCTTTAGGCCTCTTTAACTTTTCACAACTGCTTTCATTTAATCTTATAAACATATTCTTTTTTAAACAAAAACAGAAATCTCAACTGTTTTGCTTTAATCTCATTACACACTTTACGAGGCTGCTCTTATTACTTTCACTAAAATACTTATTGCAAAAATGGTCAATTTAAAAACAACAACATTTAACTGTAATGTTTTCTGCAATTTATAAAAAAGTACCCAGATAAATAAACCAAGTTACCTGTATGTATACTTGTGTGTGTTTAAATCTTGAACAAACTGCAAGAAATATTAGTACAATAATCTCTTAAACTATTTAAAATCAGTTATATACATTAATGATGTTGAACATATACAAACATACATACTCAAAACTATTCCAAAACTTAAAAATTATGCACTGCAAAGCTGTCATCTTAGTTCTATGTATCATAGTTTCCATCAAAAAGCTTAACTATAAAGTTTATGCAATTTTTTAAAATTAATCTAGTCATATCCTTGTTTTTTTTACAGAAATACCTACTATACCATTAGAACAGATTAAAATGTCTACCAACATCAATAAAAAGAAGCTCATATAATTATTCACATTGCCTTTCAGAACTGATCTAATCTAACACTTTTACAAAAAAGAAAAATTTCAAACGATACACCCTCCTTCAATATCTTAAGTCTTGCTCTAACAATTATCTAAATGGTTAAGAAGTACATTATTCTGAATTTTTCTACATAAAATTTTATTTACTGAACTGAAAAAAAGTAGTTTCAATATGATGATGGCTTTATAAAAATTTTTTATCCCTTTTTACAACTGTTAAATACAATTATTTTTTCACAAATAATCCATCAAAACATTTTATTAACAATCTACACTGTCAAAACTATGCCTAATAAAGCACTGTTCTAGCAAACATTACTAAGCACATTAAAAGTACCTTATGTTTATATAATATTAATATGAAACCTAAGCACAAATTAAAATTTTCTTAACACTGAATGAATGTTTTAGCTACTTACCATGTCCACTAACCCACAAAATTCATCTAGTCGAGTCAATACCTCATCAATATTCTCTTCAAGAACACCTTTCTAACAAAATTTAAAATCATGGTTATAAACAGTGAGTATTCAAATCATTAAAGGCTTTTTGAAGAAAACATTTCTGTACATATAATAATTTGTATATATATAAATTCTAAACATCTCCATTTTTACAGTATGTATCATACCATATTGTATTTGCTTTATAAATTAATTTCTATAACAGTATATCCTTCATTACTTATTACAAAATATTTATATGTTATGACTAAGAAAACCATATAATTATTCAAGAAATAAAGTCTCAGAATTACCTTGAAATTATAAACTGAAGTATCTAAAATGTTTATTATTCAAATATTTTGAGTTTTCCAATATGGCTTTGTGATTGAAAGATAATAAATGCATCATTAAAATATCCTCTCTAATAAAGTTCATCAAATTCTACAGGACCCTCTTTTAGCTACTGTACTTCATAAAAACTTTATTCTAAATTACTCAATTGAACATTTATCCATATAATATGAATCCACGTGAATGAGTTTGAAATTGATGGACTATATTGGGGGCTACATTTTATCTTGCTTTGACATGAGTGTTATGCAGTATCAGGTTACCAGATAAAGTGATAATCTGTGATCAGTCACTGACATTTTATTAACATTGTCCCAATGGGAAGGTAGTGTGTCAATTTACATGCTTGATTTTTAATTGTTTTTCTTTAATCATTAACTATGTAATTCAACTTGCAGTGTATATCTACTAATTTGCACCTGAGAAATCCAATTACTGAAACCTCCTATTAAAAACACATAACATTCTGTATGCTACACAAAAGTACAAAAGTCGCTGCAAACATTACTTTGGTAATGATAAAGTGGACATTTACATCACCAGACTATACACTTTTTCACAACCTTGGTAATAAGTCTAACATGAGAAACTTTACATTATCTATCAATATAATTTATAATAATCTCAGAGATGACCAGTTTATTCAGCTATTACACTTGACATAATAATGATGAACATCTATTTGAAAACATTCCCACTTTATGTTGTTTTTCAGATAATTAGATAAGCTCAAACTAAACTTGAAACTGTATTAAACATTTTATGGGCATCCTATACTTTTAGTTTTACATACACAAAATAACCTTAGGTTTAGTTATATTTTTTTATACTCCAGTCAGTGAAAACTATTAAATAATAAATTGTATTTGCAAGCATTTCATTAGATAATGAAGTAGGCCCATAACACTAATTTCAGTCTAGTTCTTTACTAGTTTTACATTTGCAGTTTCTGCTATTTTAGAATATAAAAAACAAAACACTTTTTTAAATGACAAAACACTATCTGTATTGCCATGGTTTTTGTAGTCCACCCCATAATCTCATATAGTACTTCCAACCACTATCTCAATGAATGTAATGTTGTGCCAACCTCCATTTCTTTCCTATCGTCATTTTCCATTCCTAATCCTACTCAATCACAAGAAGAATTCCACCTTAGAATAATTAAATATATAATTTATACTGCCATTATGCTGAAAACAGCTCTTAACCAAATAATGTGCGTGTTGTCACACCTTAAATTGTGAAAAAGAAAATAAAATAATATGAACTTCAATCATTCAACTTTCAAACTTATTTTACATACGTTTCAAATACTAAACTTTCATTTACAAATATAAATAATTTCACTTAGATCTATTCTTCAAATATTCTAGAATGCACGTAACTATTAAAAAGTAAATGATACTTTAAAAAGTTTTGATTTTATCCAATGTAAGAGGAACACGATTTACTATACATTGTAACCAAAATTAATATTTTAATATGAAGCACAACTTTACGTCATATTTAGGCCCACATCTGCTTTGACTTAGAACTTAAAATGAGTTAGATTAGAACCTACCGCAGTACCAGGTCTGCAAGTGTTTTCATCGATTAACATTATCTGAAATATTTTTACCTCTAACTTGACATCAGTTCTTAGAAACTTCGAATAATCTTCTGCTAAATCAGTTAAAAGTTTTTCAGCTTCCATACTATTTCTTGGAGTACTTTCGTTCACCTCTTTCACCACAATTGTATCTAAGTGTTTTTCTCTTAGTCCATCCGCCATGTTACTTAAAGTACGACTATGACGTTCCCTTCTGGAGAAAAACGAAATATCATCATTCTTTAAATGTAAACATCCCAGCTGGAACGTCGTATATAAAAGTAAAACAAGACTAAAAAAACCTTTTTAAATTCTTTGTGAATTCGTCAACTTTTAAAAAACATCAGAAAGAACTTGGAACAGAAACAATATGGTATATAAGTATACCATATGCTATCTGTATTTTTATTTTAAAATAGCGTTTTTCGGAATTTGTCAGTTATTCTATTTGCATTTTTCACATAGCACGTGTCTAGAAAGTTATTAAGTTGCTTTTGTAGCGTATCACAAACAACATTCGCCCAATTTGTATTTATTCTGTGCGTTCTTTCTAACTGCTACCTTTGTTCTTTGTCATTCTTTCGAGATAACACCTGGTCTGTGCATGGTAGTATGGCTAATGCTGAACATTAAGGAGATATATTAAAACTATACGTCAGGCCAGCTAAATAATACAAAAAAAATTAATTAGTATCGTCATATGTACATATCTCTAAATTTCCTATTTAAATATTTGGTTAGTGAACAAGTAAAAACTTTTAACTACACCATTCATATAATACCCACTCCAACCCTATATGATGCCTTCCCTTAGGGTTTTGAATTGATCTACTAACTTCACTGCCTGTCTTTTACTGCTTTCTACATCAGACTAATTTCTTCCTTTCTCTGGGATCGTCGAGCTACAATTTCCATTCACGGTATATTTTCTTGTCCATTCTCTATACGTACTGGCGATCCTCAAGGATCCGTCATCTCTCCTCTTTTATATCCTGTATGTTGCTGGCATGCCAGTTCCCCGGCCTCCAATTTATCTCTTTCAATATGCGGATGACACAGCTCTCCTTGCCCTTTGTTCTACAATGGTCAGCCTCAACAAAATCCTTCAGAAAGCCATCAACTCTTTTCTTGCCTGGTGCCAACGTTGGAGACTTACCCTTAACCCTCACAAAATCAAAGCTATTCTTTTCGGCCCGACTCACCATAAGTTTCATCCATGCCGCAATCCACTTCTTTTTGATGTCCGAATTGAAAATGTTCCTCTTACCTTATCCAATACAGTTAAATATCTTGGAGTTACTTTTTATCGCCATCTCACCTAGATAGCACACCTGGACATCCTACAACAGAAGGTTAATTCTAGACTTCATATATTACGCTGTCTCCGTGGATCATTCTGGGGTTTGAATGCCCAAGTCCCTTTGTTTGTCCATGCTTCACCTATGGCCACCTTGCCTGGATCTCTGCTTCTTCTTCCTTCTTTCATCGACTAGAAGTTTTGGAACGCCACGATTTACGCATCGCCTTTCATTTACCACGTTCCAGCCCAACTCAGCAATTATATTCACTCACCTCCTTCCCCCCACATCCTAACACATCTGCGTGAACTCCGAGTGAAGTATCTTCACCGCTGCTGCTATCAAAAATCTCCTATCTTCGACGAAATTCTACCCTATTCGGTAAATACCCCTCGCAAACACTTACCTCCGACAGATCATCTCTTGAACCTCTATCTTATGACTTTGCCATAGATCATTCCGACTACACTGGGACTCCAATGCCTGATTTTCCATCACACGTTTATCCCTGATTACATTTCCAAATAACATACATTAAACTCGTCTTCCGCATCTCAGTTCACGAACTCACTTTATCATCTCCATGTACAATTTTTCAACTGTGTAACCCTCTGATGGCTGGAATGAAATGTCGTCAAACAACAAGATCACTACATTGTCTGTCGTATTCCAGCCGGCCTTGCGAGCTTAGATATTGAGCGAAAGGCTTCGTTGTCCGTGGTTAAGACAGATGTAATGTAGTTGACGTAGTATATTCTTCTTTGTTTCCACTCATGAGTACTTTCGGGAAAATATATTCTGTCAATTGGTTATGGGAAAATAGATTCTGTCAGTTATTTACAGTTATACGCGAACGGGTGGAGTACGGCTCAGTGATTAGCGCGCCGGTTTATGGAGCCGAGGATTCACGTCACGTTAACACACACACACAAATTGCAATCCACACTTTAGGGCCGTGGGTGCGCTATAAGAGTAGCTGTAAATCCAACTATTCGGCTTAATAAGAGTAGCCCAAGGATTGTTGGTAGTTGGTGTTGAACAGCTGCTTTCCCTGTAGCTTTATCACTTCAAAATTAGGTTTCGGCTAGTGCACATAACATAGCCTTCGTGTAAGTTTGGCGAAATCCAACAAAAAAATAAATGTTCACCAGCAGTTATATATGTTTCTTACCAAGTAACAAATAATAATTTAAACGAGAATTTTAAAGGAGAATATTCATTAAATTCTAAAATAAACACTTTTTGTTTTTGCTAGAATGTTGTACAAAAAGTAGATAAGAAGACGTCTTTCTACACGTATTCTTACATGTTTTTGGAGTTTTTACCAGACATCGTTTCAACAATAACTACAAGTATACGACCTCTATCTTGAGAAGCTTCCGATACATCACTTTCACTTTGAAATGAACCGTTATTTGAGTCTAAATTTTCCTTCACGAATTGTGGTAGAATCAGTCAGTTTTTGCTCCCCAGTGGCACAGCGGTATGTCTGTGGACTTTCAACGCTAGAAACCGGATTTCGATACCCATGGTGGGCAGCGCACAGATAACCCATTGGGTAGCTTTGTGCTAAACTTCAAACAAAAACAAACAATCAGTTTTTGTTTTGTAACGCAACTTAGTCAGTGTTGTGGTAAACACGTTTCTTGACAGTGCGTCGTTTTACTAATCCTAGCTAGTATATTTGAAGAGGTCAAAAGTCATTCCCTGAACTTCGTTGTTCAAACCCAACATATGTTAGACGAGTTTTATTTTAAAGTTTAATACAAGTAAATGATGCACAAGTAAAGTTTCGAGGTCCCTTAATTTCTCAATTTAAAAAAAAATACATAAATGTCTTCAAACTCGACAGGATAACCAGTTGCGATTTCAAAAGTTTTGTTATATATTTATTAACAGGTTCACTAGCATATCGTCTCACGTTAAGACTGGTTAACAAAACAACACATATTTTTTCATGTTTTCTTGTATTACTTTTTGCTCTGAGTGTCTCCATTCACCGTTGTTATTAGTGCCCAACACTAATGGTTTCGTGTTCGGTTTTTGATGTATGTTTTTATTTTGTCTTGTGTTTGTAAGAATGGTGAGCTATATACTCATCATGTTGGCGTGAAATCTATGCAGTCCCTTTAAATGTAACACGTGATTCTTTGTGTTACATTTTTAGGGTTACATATTTGTGTGATATACATTTACTTTCGAAACTTTGAAACACTGTCCATTTGATTCCTTCTACGGCTGTACTTTATTGGATCTTTATACATACACAATGTATCATCAACAAAGATCTGGAAATGGCCTAGTGATTAGCGTATCGGAATGGGCATCTGAGAGGACTGGGTTCGAGACGTGGTGTTGTCAAAAATTACTTACACTTTCAGATGTTGGTGCATTATAAGGTGACTCCTTCTGACAATAGATGCTTCCAACTGGTTGCCTTCTCTTTGGTCCGCAACTCAAAATTAGGGATGGGAGTTTAGCCCATTGTGCACAGTGTCGTTCGGGTGAACAAACAAAAACGTTAATTGTAAAGAAATCAGTCAAGGTTAGTACATATTTATTGAACTTGGTAAATGATATAAAACCAACAAGATGCTCATAGACTTTAACATACAACAATTCTTCAGCTGCAACATTTTTGTATGTTTAAAAGACGTTTTAAGTGAAAGGAATGAATATTTGTTTTAATTTTGAAGTGCTGAAAAATTCAGTTACTTGGAGACTATTTAGCGAACTGCTAGTATAGATTAAAGTAGTTTGTAATAAGGTTCATTCTCTTGCAGTAATTTGAAGAAGATGTAGCGAACTGCTATTGTTAATTAAAGTAGTTTGTAATAAGGTTCATTCTCCAGCAGTAATTTGAAGACGACGTAGCGAACTGCTAGTGTAGATTAAAGTAGTTTGTAATAAGGTTCATTCTCCTGCAGTAATTTGAAGAAGATGTAGCGAACTGCTAGTGTAGATTAAAGTAGTTTGTAATAAGGTGCATTCTCCTGCAGTAATTTGAAGAAGATGTAGCGAACTGCTAGTGTAGATTAAAGT